TGGAGCATGTTGATGTCATAATGAGGGGTGTAACATCCCATTATGAGGGGTGAACCATTCTATATTGAGGGGTGAAACATGCTTTAATCAAAGAGAGTATAGGCAGAGGTCATCAATTATAGGCTAGGGCCAAAATGGTATCTTAGATTATCCTATTATATCTCCCCCCTCCTTTAACTACCATTCAGATCTTTTCTACAGGAATTATATACTATGTATGTAGATTTTTAATTAAAAATTTTGTCCAAAGTTTTCAAGTGTTTATGTCGACACTTTACTTGCGGTAAGCTAATAATAGGTGTAATTAATATTGTGTTCGCTATATCCTTAAGATTTTTTATTTTACCTTTTATTTTTCTATATTTTAACATTATCCCCGATCTTATTTTGCTTAATTTTATTACTGGGTTTCTTATTTTATTATTAAGGTTAGCTTTAATGGGTATTTTTACTGAATACTTTCCTGAATTAATGGTTATGAGTATGTGACCGGGTTGAGTAGGAAATCTAACTCAATCAGGTCAACCTTCTGTGCCTGGTCAACCTACTCCTTTAGATCAACCAACTCAACCTACTCCTTCAGGTCAACCTACTTCAGCAGGTCAACCTACTTCAGCTGGTCAACCTACTTCAGCTGGTAATCCTAATAGAGAGCCTTGAAATAGTCATCGACATATTGGGGAAGGTTTTATTATTTGTGATGGTAAAATAATCATTCAGTTCGTCAATGAAGTAAGTTTTTATGATCAAAATAATCAACCTAATAGATCACCTCTGAGTAAAAAAATGGCTATAAATATAGCTAATGCATTGGAATACCAACGTGATTATAGTAATAAATCAGGTCGTATAAAGGTTTTAAATGGTTGCGCTCATACTTGAATGAGAGATTTTATGAGATATACGTATCCAGAACGACATACGCAAAATTATATCAATACTTGACCAGTTAGATCGGCTCTTCGGGATTTTGGTCAAGAATAAGTATTATTTACAATATTAAGTCTGTTCGTCTCCTTTTCTGAGCGAAGCACCCTTCACTACTTAAGATATTTACCTTACTTTCTCTTCTTAAATATCTTTTTATGCTTTATAAAAAGAATGAATTTATTAGAGCTGATATTGATTTAAGTAGTTTTAGAAGTAATTTATCATAGCGTAAAGTAAGCTTGTGGGTGCAAACTCTTAATTTTTTCAAGGGAAGCTGCGAAGCTGCGAAGCTGCGTAGTTAGGTGTGTTAATTTAATGGTAGAATATAGTACTTCGGTTACTGATATATAAGTTCAAATCTTATACACACTTAGTGTCCGATAAATGATTATCGGGGAAATAAGTACGGTTAGGCAAGCTCTCATAATAAATGTAAACAAATACAGAGCTTGATAAATTAGCCTGAAAATAAAAATATGAGTTTGATATTTCAACCTCCAATAAACTTAATTTAATTTTTAGTAAAAATCCGACTAGTTAACGAAAATATATAGCTCATATCAAGCTCATTAGAGTAGGTTGAGGAAAATTATACTTCAATATCTCAATCTGGTTTATATTGATTTTTTTCTTAATATTCCTGATCTAAGTTAAGTTTAGAATAATTATATAAAGCAGGTGTATTACCTTTATATAACAAGTATTCCGGTTTAACCTTAAAAGGTATATATACTACTAAAATAGTTAGTGATCTATTTAACTTAATTAGGTCTATATACTACTAAAATACTTACTGATCTGTTTAACTTGTGGACCACCTCACTAATTAAATATAAGAATTATGAGGTAGTTGGTCTACACTTTGACTGCAGATCTTAAGTATGAGGTTCAATTCCTCCATAATTCTAGCAAAATTTTTTAAAAAAAAAAGTTCGTCCCTTTTTACAGCTATAAATTCAAAAAAAAATAACTTTAATATATAGATTATATAAGAAGGATAGATATGAATAAATGTATTATGAGTCTTGAAGATAGTCAGATTTTAGGTGTGCAATTAAAGTCTTCTATTAGTCTCTGGTTTGAACGTTGATTTTTATCAACTAATGCTAAAGACATAGGAACTTTATACTTAATGTTCGCATTATTTTCAGGATTATTAGGAACAGCATTTTCGGTTCTAATTAGATTGGAGCTTAATGGTCCGGGTGTTCAATATATAATAGATAACCAGTTATACAACAGTATTGTTACAGCTCATGCTTTACTTATGATCTTTTTTATGGTCATGCCAGCTTTAATAGGTGGATTCGGTAATTTCTTGTTACCCTTATTAGTAGGGGGGCCTGATATGGCTTTTCCCAGATTAAATAACATAAGCTATTGATTACTTATACCTAGTTTACTATTGTTAGTTTTTTCTGCAGTTATAGAAGGTGGAGCTGGTACAGGATGAACTATATATCCTCCTTTATCTGGAGTACAAAGTCATAGTGGACCTAGTGTAGATTTAGCTATCTTTGCTTTACACTTATCCGGTGTAAGTAGTTTATTAGGAGCTATTAATTTTATAACTACAATAGCCAATATGAGAACTCCAGGTATAAAATTAATAGCTCCTAATA